ACAAGAAGAAAGAAAAATGCACAAGGTAATTCTTATGTTTGTGAGTTTGCTTCAATTCATAACTAGGTATGATAAAAAAACCTTTATTTATGGTAGTATAAAATGGTTTGCCTTTGATGAAGTTTGCCTTTGATGATATAGACGGCAATACTGTAGACAGACAAAAGACTTATGGAGGCCGGGCTATCACGTAAGACTGACGCGAAATAGTCGTGCTCGACAAATTCGCCTTCCCTCTTCTGACAATATATAGCAAACAAAAATTCCAACATGAGTAATAAAAAAAAACTTCTTAGATTTAAAAAAAACAAAAAAAAAACATTACCATTTTAATTTTTGGTTATTATTTTAACTATTGTAACATACAAGCATGGACAAGGGATGTCGCAAAAGAAAAATTGTAAAGTGTTTTTGACTTTATTTTTGCTTTAGAATATATGTTCCACAAACACGACCTGTCTCTGAACGTGAGTATCTACGATATTATTGAGCAGCCCTTAACTGCTTACGTCAGAAGCTAGTTAATTGTTTAGAGCTTTACACCCTCGCTGTCAATTGCAAATAAGGGTGCAGATTTAAGTCTCTAGCACTTTTTAGGATAAAGAGTCGTGGCCGGTAATGGATATTTTTACCCCCAGCCCCTTCCGCTCTCTTCAGCCTTTGTGTAATAATGATGTTTTCAACAACAGGGGTCACTGACACGCACCGCAGTTTCCTTGTAGTATACCCGATTTACAAAAAACGAACAAAAAACTTTTTTGTTTTGTTTTGTTGATTGGAAAAGGGGGAACCTGTGAGTGCAGCTTTTCAAAAGCCACAAGGCCATAGGCTGACACCGCACACCTGCAGTTGTTTTCGCTTCAGTGACGTAGAGAGCTTTCCAGTTCACTGCGTCTGTATTTCATTGTCCCAGCATTCTGCACCCTATAGTTCGCGAGTTGGAAAGCAGGTACGAGGCAGCACAAACTGGGGAATTACACATACGAGGGAAGTACAGTCATCAGCAAAACGGAATGCACCATCCGAGCGCATGGCCTCGCGTACCTGTAGTGCCATCTGCCAGGAGAAGCCGTGCCATCTGGTGTCGCGAGTTGCACATCCGCAAAGTTGACCCAAGCGCTCAACGGCTTTTTGTGGTCTGGACAACCCTTAACTAACGATGATCAACGCTGGACGTAACATTTCAATATGTCCGTGTATTGCTCTTTTTAGTTTGCAGTAACGTGCGCAGATTTCTTTTTTCGAACGAAAATCTGTGGCCGAGGGGGCTAAGGCCCCCTCGGCCACATTTGAATTTTTGATAAAGACTTTCTTCAGTTTGTCTGCATTCGTCTCCGTGCTGCCGGCTGAGTTTAGGTAGGATCTCCCTGTCTTTCAAATATTCAGCAGTCAAATATTCATCAGTTCACCTAATATCTAGTCAACTAAGCTCATAATTCAACCCGAAGAATATACTAATATTGTTTTATTGGGACATAGTACGTAATATAATACATAACCCGCATATTAGTCAAAATGACTCCCCGATGGCTACCAAAACCTGAATAGAAATACGAGTATCAGCTGCCTAGTGAAGCGCCAGCGGGTTAACATGCTCCTTGGCTCCAGAAGCGCTTGCTTAATTTTCGTAATTTTCCGGCAGCCTGTGTTGTTGACCGAGCAGACGACTGGAGCTCTTTCTTAAACGCAGATATGCACAAAAGCTCGATTTTGAGGACAGATAAGTCGCATGGTCGAGGCATGCGAGTTAGCTGAAAATTACTCTTGGTGGAACAATTCTGTAGCCCTCGCCGTTTAACAATTGTTCCAATGAAAGAAAAAAAAAGTGGGTAAGCTATCATTAATTATGACGAGATCAAACTTAATGGCAACGTCAAGGAGTTCACATCTCCTGTGAGTGTTTTGTAAGCTACCCCACAGTTCATCATGGACATTAAAGGCTCCTAATAAGCAGCATCGTTTCAGTACTGCAAGTAAAAGCGCTTCTAATCTTTGGCCATCATATATCACGTTAGGCGGTAATGAAAGCTAATGAGCGAGTGTCATTTTTTTTAGTTGCAGACACGTTTTTTGTATCATCTGGTCAAATCTTTCGCTCAATACAAGCTAAATAATTTTAATTGCTGGTAAAGCTCTGCTGTTCCTAATTTCTTTTTTTTTTTTTGTAAAAATTTTGATATATTGAGATATTGACGCGCTTTCGAACTCCGTGTTTGTGTACCGCTAAAACCGGACTGGGGTTATTTCGAAGATGTTGACATTGATCGAGTGCTTTCGACTGGAGGCCTTGTGCCTTCTGCAGCAAAACAGAAAATGTTGCTACTTAAGAGACATCTAAAAGAAGGGGATAATATAGTTAAGTATTTCACAATGTACTGTACTACAGGTGAGGAGAACTGACTAAGAATAACCTTTTTCCAATCGGGAAAATCTGATTAGTTCAGCTCTGAAGCCTCTTTTTGCTCTTGACTTCGGGGTATTTTCGCTAGCTCTGCTGGGGCAGATTCCTTGTCTGCATGTTTGACCTTAGTGTATACTACCTCTACAGCTTCAGCGTATTTTTTTTTTTCACTGAGACATTTGTAACGATGAACTGCAGCAACTTATATTAATGTCTGTGGCATCTGAGTGCGTGTTCAACGTTTCTTGCTTTTCGTTTTGTTTATCTTGCACAAGCTTTGAGCGATGCGTTGTTTTTTATAGTGGCTGCCTAGTGTATATGTTAAGCTGGGGGATCATGTGGCACTATTCCTCTATTCCTGAGTGGCGCACAGATTTGACGTGTAAGTTATCTGACTGTGCGCGTGCTACTTGAGCCATCGTGTTGCTTTCGTTTTGAGCATTTTAGAAAGAAAGCGTCATGTTCGTCTGAGTACCTGAAATAACGTGCGCTTGTAGCATCGCATTTCTTAAATTGTTGATCTATAGATAATCGCGTGAAAGCCTCTGACCGCTTGCAAGCAGCAATAACATGACCGAACTGTATGCCTTTTGGTCATGTCTATCTGTGAAGGCAACAACCTTGTGCCTAACGGATCCAGTAAGGACATAATTTGTTAAAAGTGGAGAGAAAATGTTATACGCACAGTACGTGATGCTCCCAGGCCCCGTACCTGACCAACTGTCGCGTTGCAATTAAGTTGTTTGTTAAGCTGTGGAATTGTGATGTCTGGGTCAATGTCTCGTTGCGTGGTTTGTAAACGTAGACAGGTATTCCAAGAAGCTCCGCCATTTTCAGCAGTGTTGCTGGGGTCTTCAGATTGTGCGTCCACAGCGATCAGATTCAGCTTCTTGTTTTTCTTGATGTCCTAAACGCAGAAGCGTTCTCGAGTAAATTTGTCAAGCGAAAGCTGTTCAGGTTTCGTAGCTGCTGTGTGGCATCTTGTGGTGTGAATATCGCTGTATATCTAGCGCGTGACAAAGGGGATGTGGACTTGATGACGGTGTTGTTACTTAAAGAATTCGTGCTTGATCGATGTTGTTTTCGAGTCCCTGCTCTCATGTATTTTATTGTCGTAATTTTATTGTCTGTGTTGCCTTCATGGAGTTGCCTATCTTCTGACGCGGTGCCAGTTCAGGGTCCAGCTTTATTCAAGCCTTGTTCTCTCGACACATGTCCAGGGGTCTGACTTGTAGGAGGATATCTTTGCCCGCGTATTAATAAGTGCTTGGTCAGCGGGTTCGGAAAGTTCTTGATAAGGGTTGGGATAAATTGGCGCCGACATGTCTTCCGACACGGACCTGGTTCGACGCTTAGCGCATCTTCTTACTCTAGCGCCAGCGTCTGGCTCTGGTTAGAGGTAAAGGCACTTAGAAGCCAAGTAGCGTTAAGTAATAGCTCCAATGTAGGCAACTATATTGTACCACCGCAGAATCTGCAAAAATTGCGAGAACTTTGAAAGAACAGCCTCACCAGGGCTCGTCGCCATCGTCGTTCCTTGATGTTGTGTTAGCAGCCAAAAGAAGCCCTACTCTCTAGAATAGTCACCAACAGAGAGAGAACGGCATGTCGTGCCTTTCGAACGCCCGGCCTCTATCACGCGCTCCCTGCCTTCTGTTGTGCTTCAGCTGCGCGCGTGCTCCAGCTGCACGAGACGCCGAAGCATTGTGGAAGGTACAGCGAGCTCCCGCTGGAGGAGGCACTATACAGAAGCTCCTCTCTGCCATTCTCACCTTGTCAGTGACTATAATAAATAATTGTTTCCTTCAACCGGGAGTTTAAACTTCGATGTTCAGCCCCTCTATATCGTAACGTGTACAAGGGCCGTCCAAGGTTAACCGGGACTTTTATCCACACAGAGGAAAGAGAATTGGACAAGCACGAGAGAGCATGTCGACTGTTCAAAAGTTTTCCCGGTCAAACATCGCTGCCTCGCTCTTGCGACTCCCTGGTTCTTTTGGTGTAGGTTCTGTAGAAAGAACTGGGCTGCTTGACTAGTCGGGCGAACGTGTCCGTACGGCGCATTTGTCACCGCACGTCATCCCTCGCCAAACTGTTGTCACCATTCGTACTCTCTTGTCCGTAGCGTCGTTCGTTCCCCATACTATGCTTGCAGTTTTCTCCCAATATTAGCCAGTTTATCTTTCTTCGTCAGAAATTTCATTATGCACATCTGCCCCAAAGAACGAGAGAAACTACTCGCTGCCATGATAGCTGGAACTGCGAACGTGCCACTAAAATACGTCTTTCAAGGGGTGCAATTTCAAAGAAGGATTGCGTGAACGTCCTAGGCAAGTAATGTCTGGAGGACAGAAGTTCTTGTCAACCTTAAACGACCATTTATTGGAGCGTAATAATGAGTGTATTATTTGTTCAAATTGTATTAAGCCCGCTTTCCTTCGTGTCCGCCTACGATACCAGAGTTGTCACTGCTCCACCCAAAGTGCTACCTTTATTCCTTCTGTTTTCCGAGAGCATGGCGCCCGGTGCTGTCCGTGTGCAAACCGCCGAACTCCGACGTTTTTCTCCGGCATCAAGACTGCGCTGCAGTGTGCACGAGACCAATACCACCAGGAAGAAATGACCGGCGCAAGTGAATCCACCGAGTGTCCCCCTTAGCTCGCGTCAGCGTCGCCGGCAACGCGTCTTGCAGTGTCTCACAACGAGCGCTATGCTACAGGAACGAGGCGACGCCAAGGCGGACGTGTCTGCCGCTTTGCGTTGACTCTCGTCGAGCCCCAGCGTATTTGCCGCCTGGTGCGGGAAGGGGGTCCACTAACGATGACGTCATGCGCAGGCCTTGTAGGTGGTATTGGCTCGAGACGAGCGCTCAGGCCTCTCGGAGGACCGCCGAGTAGTCCACTCCAGTGGCGTAGATCCGGCGCATGGCCACCTTTCCCTGCATATACACGACCGTGGCCGTTGTTATAGGATAGCGAACACTGTATTATATGCGCGTGTCACACAGACGCCATCATGGGCAAACCGAAACTTATAGAAAAACCCGTCGAATTTGTGCGGTTTTCCAAAAAGCCTTGAAATGCTTCGCGTGCCTTCTATCATTCTGCAATTTGTTGATTTACTATTTTTCGATGATGCTGAGCAATTTTCTAATTTAAACCATGCCCTTATACACAATATAAAAACGTTGATTACGCAAAAATAATTAACAGTCTAATTATCCCGGACTTTAATAATTATACTAAATAGGCCCCTGCCCATGACCAAAACGACACAAGTCTTTTTTGTTGCAACGCGTTGTTTCCGCAATATCGAATTTGTCCACTTTTCGTGAAACACCCTGTATATATTGACTTCACACCAACACCTCCGCAGCCTTGGGAAGTAATCCGTTACTTTTTCAAGTAATTTTGTAATTGTCGCGTTACTTTTCTGGGGCAGTAATTTATAATGTAATTTCGTTACAATTATTGGTAACGAATTACTTCAATTACTCGTTACTTCCTTTTTAACTATGAACATAATAAAGAAAGTGGAGCTGGCAATTCAGCAGCATAGGACCTAGCAAGTTAGAAGAAAATAAAAATCCTGAAGAGGAGTACAGCCGAAAATAAAACACGATCTTTTATATGACCGGTCACGAGAACCCAGACTTGTACGTAACGCGTTACAAGTAATGGATTACTTGTAATCGATTACATTATATAGTAATTTTTCAATGCTTCAATTACTTCCTTTAAGAAGTAACGATCCTTGTAATTTAATTAATTTTTTTTTTGCTGTAATTCATTACGAAATTACCCATTACAATTTTCCTTCATTTTGTTTTGGGGGGGAGGGGGGTTTAGATGTGCTGGAGTCACTCCCCTCTGGGCAACGATCAACTTTTTCTTCTTTTTCGAAACCAGTAAGCACGGGACCTCAAGAATTTATTTATTTACTTATTTATTTATTTACCCTCAAGGTCCCGAAGGGCATTACAGAGGGGAGTGGGGGGGGGGGGGGGGGGGGGGGGTACAGGTGACAAAGGTACAGTTGTTGATACATGAAATACATTACAGTCATTATTGCACGCTCGCTCAGACACTTCAAAAATATTTACACAATGTTATAACAGTAATACCAACTAGAAAATGGATAATAAAAAAAAAAAAAGCATTTTTAAAATCATTAATACTGGTTATGGAGGCTATGCCAGCGGAAAGGCGATTCCAATCAGAGCTAGTCAGAGGAACAAAGGAGTTATTATAAGTGTTAGTTTTGTAATTGGGGATACCGACTTTGTACTGATGATCTACGCGGGATGAAACATAAGTAGGTTTCTTTAGAAGTTCACGGCGCATAAGAGGGTTCTTATGGTAAATCTTATGAAATAGGCGAGAAATGCGTCTACGGTTCATTAGTGTAGGTAAACCAAGGCTATTTTTTTATTGAAGTAACACTGGATGCACGATGGTAATTAAAGAGCATGAAACGTGCTGCACGATTTAGAACTGATTCCAATGTTGCTATGATAGTGTTATGACTGGGGTCCCTGATAGTACATGCATATTTAAGTTTAGTACGTACTAAAGTAGTATATAAAAGGAGTTTTAGTGACACTGGTCACTGTGAAAAATTTCGTTTGAGATATCCAAGCATGCGATTGGCGTTGTTAGTTACGTAGTTAGTAAGAGTTTCCCAGGAAAGATCAGAAGTTATGTAAACACCTAAGTATTTGTAAGAGGACAGACTGCAGCGGAGTGTCGTCAATGTAGTAATTCGAGCATATGTTGGTATGACGGGAAACTCTCATGGATTTACATTTATTATGCTTGAGTTGCATCAACCACTTGTCGCACCAGTTAGATAAAGAATTAAGATCTGATTGGAGAACAGAGATGTCGGAGTTATTTGTTATTTTTCTATATATAGTACACAATAATCAGCAAATAAAATAATATGAGGGGAAATACATTCAGACAGATCATTAATATAGATCAGGAAAAGTAGCGGACCTAAAACAGAACCCTGGGGAACTGCAGATGCTGCGGGAGAAAGTGAAGAGTTAGTACCACTGGGGGGGGGGGGGGGGGGGGCATGCACACATTGAGAACGGTTGGTTAAAAACGATTCTATCCAGCGTAGCACATTCGGATCAATGTTGAGGTTGCTAAGTTTTACTGGGAGTAGCCGGTGAGAAACTTTATCGAGGGCTTTAGAGAAATAAGGGAAACCGCAGTCTATCTGGGAGCCACGGTCAACGACAGAATGAAGCTTATTAGTGAAGAGCAGAAGCTGTGTTTCGGAGGAAAATTATTTGCGGAAGCCGTGTTGAGTTGGGTGAAAAAAATATTTCGGTTCTAGGAAACATGCGAGGTTAGAATATATGATATGTTCGAGTATCTTACAAGGAATGGATGTTAAAGAAATTGGCCGCAAGTTATTCGGGGAGGAGTGGTTGCCACTTTTATGAATCGGAATCACCTTTCCAACTTTCCAGTCTTCGGGACGGCAGCCTTCCTCCAATGATTGCTTAAAAATCATTGATAGTATATCTGATTGATACGACTTCGTGTTATTTAAGATTTTAGAGTTAATATTGTCAACACCGGATAAAGAACAGAGCTTGAGGTTGTTAATTATTGCAGCTATACCATCATATGATATTAATATTGGATTCATTGGCAAAAAGTCAGGGCCATTAAAGTTGGTGTACACAAAAACATCGGTAGGAGAAAAAGATTGTATAAATATATCATTTAGCAATGATGCACACTCATCTTGACCTACTCGTTCCCCATCCACGTTTGTAAGTTTGGTGGTTGTCATTAGGTTTGATTAAGTTCCAAAAGTGGCGAACATTTGCAGATAAAATTGTGGGCAACGTGTTAGTAAAAAAATTGAGTTTCACTTTTAATACTGCACGTTTATATTCCTGCTCGGCGCAACGATAGGCCTTCAAATGACTATCTTGTTTTGAAAGTCTGGCTACACGAAAGAGGCATTCCTTTTTATTGGAAAGTCGTTTAAGTCTGGTGTTGTACCAAGGGGAATTACTTTTGGATGATAATGAGCGAAGTGTAATATAGGTGCTTATGAGGTAGTTATTTTTTTTTTCGAAACAGACACCAATTTTCATTTACAGAGCGTCCAAAGAAATTTTCCACAAAGTAACTCAGAAATTCACACAATTCACTATTTATAGCCGTAATATTAGATTTTCCGTAATCAATCTGTTTAACTATTTTCGGGGAATGACTTGTGGTAATATTTAAGGTAAAGTGCAGCAATAAATGGTCACTAAAACCAGGTAGATAGGTAATAGGGGAAACAAGGTCGGCGAAGGTTGACAATACAAGATCTAACACTGAGGCACAGGAGGACGTAACTCTTGTGGGGTGAGACACTAGCTGAGAGAAATTGTAGTCCGAACATAAGTTGATGAATTTGTCACTGTCAAACGAAAAAGGGCTTGCGTAGGCTGTGTCCGCCGACCACACAATATTTGGATAGTTAATATCACACAGAAGGATGAAGTTTGGTGTGGGGGATCGCAAAGTCACTGTACTGATTACGTCATGAAGTTTGTTCAGAAAGCTACAGGCACCCAAGATATTTTTTTTTTGTGATTCACGGAAAAGCAAACAATGTTGGATTAGTAGGCCACTTCACTATGCTTCGTTTCCAGTGTACATTTTTTTTATACACCGGAGATTACGTTTAGGTATGCAAATTATCTTATTCAGCTTCTTGAGAGTAATGTATTTAAACAGCACTATTTTTATTTTATTTTTTTTTCACAAAAGGGCTTGGGTGTATTGGCGTCACTCATTCAGCTCTAAGCAAAAACGGTACTGATTACGTCGTGAAGTTTTTTCAGAAAGCTACAGGCACCCAAGATATTTTTTTGTGTGATTCGCAGAAAAGAAAACAATGTTGGACTAGTAGGCCACTTCACTATGCTTCGTTTCCTGTGTACATTTTTTTTTATACACCGGAGATTACGTTTAGCTATGAAAAATTATCTTATTCAGCCTCTTGTGAGTAATGTATTTAAGCAGCACTATTTTTATTTTATTTTTTTTACAAGAGGGATTGGGTGTGTTGGCGCCACTCATTCAGCTCTAAGCAAAAACTGTCAAGGCTTTCTTTTTTTCTTCTTAACAACTGGGCGCGAGACTCCAAGGATTATGCTACCGTAATACCAAAAGATGAATGAAAAGTACCGTGGAAAGTAATTGATTACTTTAGATTAATTTTTCGATTACCTGTTTGAGGCTGTAATTGTAATTGTAATCGGTTACTTTTTACTTTGAAGTAATTGTAATTGTAATCGGTTACTTTTTCAGTAACGTGTACAAGTCTGCTAGAACCACTTGAAAAAACGTGCGAGAACTATACAAATATGCGAAGAGCAAAGATCACGAAGGCAACGCCAAGAAGCTGTGCCTCTTTCCATCGCCTTTCATCGTGTTTTTCTTCTCCTGAATATGAGAAATGGAAACTCGTATTACAGAATATTTTTGTTGTTGAAAATATCGATCGCTTTTATTATTTTCTTGATGAGTGCACGGGAAAAGTAACGTGAAAGTAATTTGTGATGTAACAAGTAAAGTAATCCGTTACTTTTCAGCGAAAGTAATTTGTAAAGGTAATCCATTACATTTGAGGCTCGGTAATTTGTAATTGTAATCCATTACATTTTTCAAGTAACTGGCACAAGTCTGCCAGACTTGTACACGTTACTGAAAAAAAGTAACCGATTACAATCACAATGACTTCGCTGTAAAAGTAACCGATTACAGTTACAATTAGAGACTAAAAAAGTAATCGAAAAATTAATCTAAGGTAATCTATTTCTTCCCACGTTACTTTTCATTCACCTTTTTTTTATTAGGTAGCATAATCCTTAAAATCTCGCGCTCAATTGATAAAAACAAAAAAAAAAAAAAAGAAAAAACAAAAAAAAACAGGCGTGATTGTTTTTGCTTAGAACTGAGTGAGCGACGCCAACACACCCAATACCTCTCGTGAGAAAAATAAATAAATAAAAACAGCGCTGTTTAAATGCATTACTCACAAGAGGCTGGACAAGGCGCCATATTTTATACCCGGACGTAGTCTGCGGTGTACCAAAACAAAATATATATATACCAAAAAAACGAAGCTTAGTGAAGTGGCCTACTAATCCTCGAGGTCCCGTGCTTAATGATTTCGAAAAAGAAAAAAAGAAAAAAATGACCGTTGCCCAGAGCTAAGTAACTCCAGCCATAGCCTCCTCTATACGTAGAAAGCCTGGCACATCGACGACGGAACAATAGGGCGCGCGGCCGCAGGAAAAAGGAGAGGAGGAGCGCGCCGAACGGTGACCAATATGGTAGCGCAGAGCAGAAAAGGCAGACCTAGACAGCGAGCGCTTGGGTCATGAGCGGCCGCTCCCCGAACCACGCTTGTTTTTGTGTTTTCGTCACCGTCGTTTTCGTACTCCGGGAGAAACGGGCGCGGCGATTCGAAAGGGCGCAGGGAGAAACGGGAAAGGGAGGACGTTGAGTTTCTCCTCTCCACGATAGCGACAAGAAAAGAGAGAGAAAAAGAAAAGATTGTTTCTGCGTTTGGCCGCTCGCTCTTTTGTGGCGCTAGCAGCAAAGGTTCTCTCCGCTCCCGTTTCTCCACCCCTCCTTTCCCATTTACGGCGGCCGTCTTTTCACGCGACGCGCCAGGCTTTCTCCGTATAGAGGAGGCTATGCTCCAGCACATCAACCCCCCGCCGCCGCCGGCCCCCCCCCCCCCCCCCCCCCCCCCACCCAAAAAAAAAGGAAGTTGAGAAAAATTGTAATGTGTAATTTTGTAGTGGATTACATAAAAAAAGTAATTCAATTACAAGTATCGTACTCCTAAAGGAAGCAATCGAAGCGTTACAAAATCACAGTGAAATGTAATCGATTACAAGTAATCCATTACTTTTAATGCGTTACGTACAAGTCTGGTGCAGACTGTCCTTTGTACGTTGTATTAGGGGTGTAAGCAAAGCTCGAGGGTGGGTCGACCAGGTCATTGAGGTATTTCTTGGTGCATGCTAAACTGCTCCACGCTGACATTTAGGAGACGATAAAATAATTTCTTTCGTTCCTTTGTTCGAGGCTGTCCCTCAACCGTGGCTCTGGCCGACTTGCCTTGGGCGTAAAGCGGTGGTAGGCCCTCGGCGGCAGCACGATCAGGTCTCCGGCTTGGACCTGGATGCGGACCCAGGTGTCCTGGAGGTCACGGATGTCGAAGAAACCACCGCCTTCTCCTATCATGCGGATCTCTTCTTCATCGTGCTGGTGCTCGCGGGAAGACTCCCGCACCTGTAGAAAACACTGGGATGGGCAGCCCTTGGAAGAGAACGGCTGCGTGGCACTCGCTCGGAACACGTGTATTGCGTGTTCGCAGAAGAATGGTTGGCAGTGCTTGGAAGGCACACGAAGCGTGAATTTTATCGAGGGACTTTGAAACGCCCGCCTCTCCTCGAGGCTACGTGATATACCACAAGGGGCTCCTTGCGTTCCAAGTGCACTAATAACTCGGGGCATTACACTCACCCTCGGAAAAAGCAGAACCAATGGAAACTTTCGAATAAGCAATGCTATCCTGCAATCTACTCCTGAAAAAAATTTAAAGTCGTTTCGATCAATTTTGTAGATGCGGAGAGCACACATTCGTGTGCTCTCCACATGTGCGCAGCGCACTCGAAACCGTTCAAAGCTCCCCGCAACCAAGCACAACTAATCATGACGATCGCATAATGCACGCACGACACATTCTATGCTTCCCGAGCTTGCGTAAATGATCGAGACAAGTTTTTATGTCGGCCAAATTGTGGAGTATAAATTCATAGTATGCCATTCGCACTCAATATTTCCTGATGTAATTCGCAACGTATGGTTTTTGTGCGCCCACTCGGATATTCAACCACACCGTATGTTAGAGAGTTTTAGTAATACGTATAGCAGCAAACGTAAGCTCCCTACGTTAGCGTTAACGCTGCGTCCTCCATACTGCCCACGAGCCATACGTACGTACTGCGGCGAGCTATGCGTACGCACGCTCTCTATCGCTTTTTGCGAGCGTACGTTGCAGTTCCCTGCGTACCATTCTCGTTGCTCTCGTCGCGCACGGGAAAGCGCGAGACTACTCCAGTTTGGAAAATGGCGGCGGTGAGGCAAACCAGTGGAAGTACTATGTGCGTTGTACGGGTTCGCTTCACCATTGAAAATGACCTCAACCTTGTGGAAGAAAGAGAAAGAAGAAGAGAAAAAGGGCGGGGCTTTGGCGGGCGAGGACACACGGAGTTCGGAGCTGGAGACAGACGAAAGAGCCGGTGCCGAGCTAGGCCTTCAACTGAAGACTCGGACCACTAGACAGCCTTGGCCCCCCTCTTCATCGGACTTTGAACTTAAGTACAGATAAAACATTTCCCAATGGTAGCGCTTCCCCGTGTGACTTCCTCGGAGCGAGTCGAACTCGGCCTGATCGGGCGCTATTGACAGGCGACACACAACCTCCTCAAAGAAATCAACGCGACGAACCCTTTCGAGCGCCCACAAAGATGGGTGTCGGTAGCCAAGAACGTTGGCGACGCCGTCGAACCCCAAAAAGTGTTTTTTCTGCGGTCGGAACGCGAGCGGTGCGACGTATTGCTTGCATATTTCCAAGCAAATGACGAGGCCAACATAAGGTAATAGGGATCCCACAACACACTGTGAACCATAGATCTAATTGCTAGTCGCACAGCCCTAGAAAAAAAAAAAAAAAAAAAAAAAAAAAAAAAAAAACGTTAACAACAGGCAACTGGAAAGAGATTCACGCACTTCGTAGCAAAGCGAAGAGATTCGCAGTGTTAAATTGGCTTTACCGAATACCCGCATTGGATTGTTTGAGGCAGTTCGCAGGAACACATCTAGATGGCGCTGCAAGTCTTTACGTATCGTTCCGTATGCGTTTGCCTCCCGCTATACTAGAAGTGCGCGTTCAACGCGCTCCGTAACGTTACGTCGATAGCTAGCGTGCGTTGTACGCAGTGCTGACGCTAGAGTCTTTACGCTATTCTAAAACTCTCTATTATCGATTTAAAAAGAGCCACATCAATGTTTTAGCCAGGCTGCAGGACTCACACACTCGGGGCGCATGAGGTCTCGACGGTCGACACTCCTCTAGAATGCGAATGGCCTGACAATATATTATAGTTTTCTGACAGAGGGAGAACGACAGGGCGTCATTTGAAAGCTCAGCCTCGAGGTGCCTTCAGTCGTGCGCTCCATGCCTTCAGTCGTGCTTCAGCAGCGTTCGCCCTCGAGGTGCACGAGACGTCGAAGCGGTATTGAAGGTAAGACGCTCGCGCTGGAGGCGGGACAGCTCAAGCTCCTCCCTGCCCTTATCACCTTGTTAGTGACTATTGTAGTCCTCAAAATACCATTCCCGGGTCGTTCTATATAAAAAAAGGCGAAGTGATCATGGTCTCGCAAGGCCCCTTATAACTCCATTCACACGGCAGCGTAAAGGTACACTCATACTTAGGAAGTAATCCGTTATTTTTTCAAGTAATTTTGTAATTGCCACGTTACTCTTTTTTGGAAGCAACCTGTAATGTAATTTTGTTACAGAATATTGGTAACAAATTACCTTAATTACTCGTTACTTTTTAAAAATATGAGCATAATACAGCAACTGGAGCAATACGAGCAGAACGTTCAGCAGCTTAAAGAGAGCAAGTTCTACCAATTAGAAAACACCAGGAAGGGGAGAATAGCCGAAAAGAAAACACGATATTTTGTATGACCGGTCACTAGAACCACTAGAAAAACGGGCAAGGCATATACTATGTACACACATACGAAAGAAAAAGATCAAGTAAGACAACGCCGACTAGGCTCTACGTCGCCTTCCATCGTGTTTTTCTTCTCCCGGGCAGGAGAAAGATCTTCGTGTTTATTTGTTTTGGTCTTTTACACCATTTGCCCCTTTCCAACTTCTTCGACGTCTCCCGCCACCTGCATAGACACCAAACGCGGGTCCGTACCCCCTCGATTCGCAGGTTCAGAGCTCGCGTAAGAGACGATGTAGCCTCGCGCGAGGGGGTCGAATTTTCTTTGTCTTTGATGTGCGCAAATGTATTCTAGCACGCTCTTGAGGCACGGCCACGGTGGGCACGGCTGAAAAGCGCCCGACGCGAGGCTAAGCGCATCGTCTTCGAGGGTGCGGATAAAACTTCTTTTAGTTTACTTGTCTGGACATGGTGGTCGAGTCCACTCCTCACTTTACGGTCAACTGTCAACATAAAAAGGGGGGGGGGGGGGGGGGGGGGGCGGTTAGGCCATCTAAGCAGTGCTGACAGAGAGAGAGAGGAAGAGAACGCGTAAAAGTGATGTGAGACCGATGCTACCGCTTCTCTCGCTCTCTATGCCCTCCCCTCCCCTGGCCTCCACGCATAACGGTATGAAAGTGAAAACCGATGAACCATCGATAACCCGTAACCGCCATTTTTTCTCTGACTGGTCTGGTTTTCGGTCATGGAGTGTCCGTCGTCTCGATGGCCACCTCTTAATGAGATGTTCAAAATTCAGGGCATTAAGGAGAACGGAAACCTAGAGTTTTAGTGCATACTTTGCTTGCTAAAAATATACACTGTCATCAGCAAGAACAACAAACTCTAACCTACGAAAACACATCAAGCTGGGACACCTGCGTTCTGCATTGACTGTATATTGTAACGTTAGAACCAAGTTTTTTTTTTCTCGTGAATTCGCAACTTTCAGCGATGGTGGTACTGCGGTGTGAGAATCGCGCTCCCTAGCTCCTGGGTGAATGGCTTCACGATAAAGGTGCTTGCCTACCGCTTCCTGACTTGATTAAATAAAGTAAGGCTCTAATACTGCTCGTATAAAGCAAAACTAGAATTACTTACGTGTCGCAGACCCCACCTCGTACTACTGTTGTACGAAGATCATCCAGATGACGGCCATTTTGATAGGCGCCAGCGCGCCCTCTATAGGTCGTGAAAGTTGCGAATGACAGGTGAAACACCCGAGTCAAAAGGTAGCTTTCCTGGATCGCTTCTTTACCTCCGAATCTCGTAGCGGATGTAGACGTTGCTACTGAGCATGCGCACCACTAGCTTTGTCTGCACAATTCGAAGGATCATTTCCGGAGGCCGTATGCTAGCCGGATGGCGGGTGTGGTTGCAGCTTTCGGTGCCTTGTCAGCTTACAGGTGAAAGCAGTGGACGTACACTCTTTCTTTTAAATACAATATTTTATTTTTTGCAAGGAGTACCATTATACGGACGTATGAAAAATGGAAAGTAGTGTTGCAGAACATTTCTAAAAAATATCAACATTGTTTCTGTTGTTTTCTGGATAAGTGTGCGGAAAAAGTAACGTGAAAGTAATTTGTAATGTAACGAGTAAAGTAATCTGTTATATTCAGTGAAAGTGATTTGTAACGGCAATCCATTACATTTGAGGCTCGGTAATCTGTAATGGTAATCCATTACATTTTTCAAGTAACGAGCACAAGTCTGGGTATACCTATATAGCTAAGGTCCTTCTAGCAAAGGGTCCTGGAGTTCGTTATCACACGGCGTATAAAGATCCCTTAACAGAGGGACTATGGTAAATGTAGTTCGCCAACCTTCCTTTACAGCTACAAGGAGAAGCCTGGAACCGACCTCGACATAAAAATGACAGATATAATAATTTATGTTGTTTAATGCGTTATAACAGGAAAGATGGCGAACCTTTTTCAGGGCAGCATACGCGGATGCGTCGGCGAATCGTTCGTAGACGACCCTTTAACTTCGAAACGATGCCTCAGCTTCTTCATTAGACTGGCTTGATGTGTGAGTTGCACCGCTCGTTCAGGCTCGTCCTGCTCCATCCACCACGTAGAGGGACTTTTCTTCCTCGTTCGTGCTAGTTAACGTGCCGAAAATCTTTCCGAATAGGCCGATACAAAGGGTATGTATGGCCCATGTAACATTTATCCTCCGTTTATTAATGCGAAAGCGTAAACTGGTCCAATAGTGCTAACAAACGCCATCGGCTTTTGAAGTCGCGCCAAACGGCACCTTCCCCTGTCCCAATGGTGTGCCTGTCGTCTGCAGCAGAAATCAGGGCCCGTTTGCTCGAAGCGCGGCTAAAGTTAGCCGCAGCACATAGGAGAAAGATTCTGAAATCACGTGACTGGCTCGGTAGGGATGCGGGGAGCCACGCATGGCCCCGTCGCTTCGTTTGACAAAATGGCTGCGGCGTACGTAGTTTCCACGTTCGCGATCATATTGGTGTTTGTCTTCAGGGCCCGTTTGCTCGAA